GAAGTAGGAATTGATGGTAATGATACAGTAGAGCAAAGTTATGTACAAGAGATTCAGAGTAGAGGTGACTCTTTGGAGTCAACCCAAAATACTCTTGAGGAATTGTTAGATAAAGTGGAGGAATATGGGAAGGTAAAGAAGGATTGGGAAGTTGTTAAATTGATTGATTCAATTACTGAGAGATTATTGAAGAAGAAACGGAAGGAGTGGGAAAAGGGTAGTAGAGGTGAGGATAGGAAAATTAGAGGAGAGGAAGGTAAGCAGCGAATAAAACGGAAAGGAAAGGGGGCTCGAAGGAGGTTTGCAAAAGGGAAAGCAAAGTTCCGTGCAAGCCAAGTGTTGTACAAGACTAATAAGTGACAACTTGTACGGGAGATGATGGGAGCACCTCCAGGATGTGTATACCCCCCCCAGTAAAGAAGAATTGACTTTGGTATTTAAGGAGAAACTCGCTATGTCCAATGATAAGGCAAACATTACCACTACAGGGGTGAACGAGAATTTGATAGTTTGATGGACACAGTTGATAGTGAGGAAGTAGAGGCGGTCATTGGAGAGGCTGCTGTGAAAATGGCCGCAGGTCCTGATGGGTGGGGGTTGAGAGACGTGAAAGAAATTCATCAGAAAGATGTCACTTGTTTTCCACGTTTATCTACCACATGGATTAGGGCAGGTGTGATTCCCAGGATATCTTAAAAACTAGTGGAATTGTATTAGTACCAAAATCAGACAATGTGGACAGCTTGAAAGACGTTGACAATTGGCGGCCCATTACCATCGGTCCTACTCTACTAAGCATTTTCACTTGAATTTTGGCGAGACGGCTTGGTAGAGTAGTGATATTAAAATCGAGGCAGAAAGCTTCCCGGTAGGATCATCATGTAATGAGAATACGGTGATCCTTCAGAATGTTATAAAGGGTACTAAGAAGCAGGGTATGGATCTAGCAGTTGTCTTCATCGATTTGGCGAAAGCATTTGACTCGATCGGACATAAATTGCTTGCCAGGGCTTTGGAAAGGATATCCCTGCCGAAAGATTTTATTAGGTTAGTGATAAATTTATATATGAACAATTCGTCAGTGGTAGATGGGAATAAATTTAAACCAAACCCGATAACAATTCGACATGATGTTAAACAGGGAGATCCTTTATCTCTTATACTGTTTAACATCGCCATGGAACCTTTGATAAGTGCATTAGAGGAGTCTGGATTGGGAATATCATTAGATTTGCAAGGAAAGCCTGCCGATTTTACAGCATTGGTGTTCACGGATGATATAGCTTTAGTTAGTGGATCTCACTCCGGGCTGGTTAAGAACATGAAATTTGTGCAACGTTTCAGTGACAACATGGGTCTTTTGATAAATGTGAAAAAGATCAAAGGCTGCCATTTCGAATATGAGGGCAAGGCGTTTTTATATAATTGTTTAAAAGAATGGAAACATTGGGAGGTTGGAGGCATTGTACAACATGTGACACCAGGTGAATTAGAGAAATATCTTGGTGCTTTAGTCGATCCATGGACGGGAATACAACTGTCTGAATGGGGGGAAAACCCTTGGGGAATGGGCAGAGAATTTGAGAAGATCAGCTATCCAGCCGATGCAGAAAAATCAAAATTTTTCGTACTTATTTTATTCCTCGAATGTACTATCATTTGGTTCTGGCTGAGGCGTCTCAAAATGTCTTGTGCAATTTGGACTCTTTTATCCGAGGTTTTATCAAAGAGGATTTACATCCACCTCCATACATATCGAACGGGGTATTATATGCCTGTAGCAGAGTTGGTGGTTTGGGGATCCCATGTTTGGAGGTTCAGGTCCCGATTGCCATTTGGAAAGAAACGTGTGGCACTGGAAACATCAAACGATAAAGTCATCCATACATTCATTTCAGTTTTGTTGAGAAAAGAACATGGATACAATTATAGAATTAACCAGGCTGAAAATGATGCAAGAAATACGGCCAGCCGCAGTGATGGGGATGGAGCCCGAAAAAGATAGAGGAGATGAAGGCAAGAGAGAACTGATGAAAAGACTGAGCTCAAATTACAACGATTGGAGAGGAGTGGAATGGTGGAAATGGATGACTTTATAACGCCAAGGATTGGGAATATATTATTTTAAAAATGATGATATATCTGAGTTGTGGATTAAAATGGCACCCACCATGAAGATTTCAAAGGTAATTAACACATTGTTGCTGCGTTGTAATATATACCCAACTGGAACAATATTAACCCACGGACGGTTCCACTGTATTAAAACTTGCCAGAGATGCGAGGCATCTGTAGAAACACTCCTACATATTTTGGGATGGTGTCCGGCAGTGAAGAATATATGTATTAAACGACATAATAAGATTTTGGAGAGACTACACTGGCTCGTAGGGAAATTTGGATGGAGAACTTTGGTGTAATCCTGGCTTAAAGACTATGTGGGGAAAGTATGGAAACCAGATTTGATTTTTCAGAAGGATATGAAGGTAGTTGCGGTGGATATAACAGTGAGATTTGAAAATAATGAAGTCTTGGAAAAGACTCGGGAGAAGACTACCAAGTATAGGCACCTAGCGGAGAAGATTAGGGAAATAACGAAAGGTGGGATGCCAGAGTTTTACGGCTTTGTGATGGGTGCAAGAGGTAAATGGGCAACATTGACTAACAGATTAATGGAACGTCTTGGCGTTCAGAAATTTCGATCCTTCGCTCAAGACTTATCCAGATTAACTGTCTCACTGACTCTGGAGTTATTGCAAATTTTTAGTGACAAATTGGGAGACTTGCTGGACTCCTATGGCTCTGATTAGTGTAAAGGCTTGCATATTTTAGTTTGTTTTATTGATTTTCGAATTTTATTCTATTTTGTGTAATTTTAGGATTTACCATATTTTAATTTTAAGGATATTTTATTGAATTTACTTAATAAAGGTGTCTAGTTTTAGTCACTTGTCATGAAGACACATTGGGTGATGTTATTCGGGTTTTATGCTAGCCTAAGGCTCTGTAACCCCGCTCACAATTCCTGCACTTCCTATTGTAAAGCAGAATACCAAGACCCGCTCCCTCCTATAAGATCTGGATGGGTTAGCTAGATAGTGGTTTCAAAGACGCGTCGATGAGCGTTGATAAAACTTGGCAAAGGCACTGTTTAATGCAGCGTTTTCAACAGGAGGACAGGTAGGTAAGGTGGTTAAGAATGCAGAGTCAAAACATGGAATACAAGACCAAGGTGGTTATGCTGAAACTGTATAAAACACTGGTTAGGCCACATCTGGAATACTGTGTGCAGTTCTGGTCACCACATTATAGGAGGGATGTGATTACACTAGAGAGGCTGCAGAGGAGATTTACCAGGATGTTGTCTGCACTGAAGGGTCTGAGCTATGACCATAGCAAGGCTGGAATTGTTTTCCTTGGAGGATGGAAGGTCGGGAGGGAATTTGTTGGTGATGTATAAGATTATGATTTAATTTGGTTTATTCATTTATTGTTACATGTACCTAAGTACAGTGAAAAGCTTTGTTTACGAGCAGTATGGGCAGATCACTGTAAGCAAGGGCATATAGATCCTAGGGTGAAAAAAAACTGAAGAGGCATACAGGTTATCTCGCACAGGGCATGTGCTAGGCAAGATCAACACTAGCAAGATCAGCATTATTTGAGGCGAGAGAGTCCATTCACCAGTTTAATAACAACCGGGGGGAAGCTGTTCCTGAACCTGCTGGTGCGTGTGTTCCAGCTTCTGTATCCTGTACCTAATGGAAGAGGTTGTAGGAGACCTTTACCGGGGTCGGAGAGGTCTTCAATGATGTTGGGAGCCTTTCCGCGGCAGCGAGCCGTGTAAATAGAGTCCATGGATAGAAGTTTGGCTTCTGTGATGGTCTGGGCTGTGCACGCCACCTTCTGTAGTTTCTGACGGTGCTGGGCAAGGCAGGTGGCATACCAGGCCGTTATACACCCAGACAAAATGCTTTCAATGGGGCATCTGTAGGATTTGGTGAGGGAACTTATGGACCTGCCAAATTTCCTGTGCCGCCTGAGGAAGAAGAGGCGTTGTTGTGCCTTCTTGACTGTCAGATTTACGTGGGCAGTCCAGGACCGGTTGTCGGTTATCAATTATCATCCACTCCTAGGAACTTAACGCTCTCCACTCTCTTCATCACAGCTCTGTTGATGTAGACGGGGCACAGATCGGGTAGACAGGAAGGCACATTTTCAGTTAGCTGAGGGGTAACTAACTCGGGGAAGTAGATTTAAGGAAAGAGGCTAAGAGGAGAGTTGAGGAGATTTTTTTTCCCTGGGAGTCTGGAACTGAGTGCCTGAAGGTTTAAATTTAAAGAGTTTTTAGATTTCCTCATTGTCTCTAAGCCTTGGGGCTGTGACTGAGCATTCCAGGCACATTTATGGAGATGGGCTTTGGCTTTGGCTTTTGAGATCTGGACTTTTTGTTTTCCTTTACGTTTTGACTCTGTCAAATATTTAATTCTGGCTTTGTAACCAAGATGATGCCAGGAAATGGTGACCCTCTCTTTTCACTGTACTCATGTATTTCTATACTTAGTACATGTGACAATAAAATCTAATTCTAAACCCTGGGAAATGATGGTCAGTTTTTGGTTAAGTAGGTTTGGAGATAATAGGCCAAATGGCCTCGTTCTGTGCTGTAAATGCCTATTATGTTAACAAGATACCTGGAAATATATCGCCGTTCCTTCAGTGTCACTGGGTCAGAATCCTGGAATTCCCTCCCTAAGGGACATTGTGGGTCAACCCACAGCACATGGACTGCAGCGGTTCAGGAAGGCAGCTCCCCCCCACCTTCTCAAGGGGGCAATTACGAATGGGGCAATAAATGCTGAGCCCAGACAGTAACAATCAAAACAGAAAAGAATGATAAAATACAACTTCTCAGGTACTGTGAGCTGAACAAGTCAACTGGGGCAGGAAGATTAAACAAAAGGGGAGAGAGACCAGGGCAAGAGTTAGCGAGGCCAACAAAATTTTACAGCTCTTTATTTCTCTCTTAAATTACGCAGAGACAAACAAATCGCTAGCATAAAGGCAGCATTTTTCACACAGGTAAAGCAATGGAGATGCCACACTCACACACCTGGTGTTACTGAGTGCTGAGATCAGGGAAGAGAATACAAGTCCATGTCTTCTCACTTGCTCCCTCTCCTTGTTCTCTCTCTCTCTCTCGATCTGCCACTTTGTAGATTTTGTTTTGGAACAGACGCCCCACAGGCTTAGTACTGCAGCGAGGGAAGGTGGAATTGGGTGGGGGTCCCGGCACCCCATCCCCAAAGACTGGGCTTATTTCTTGCAAACAAACAAGACTGCAGAAGGAACAAGGCCTGGGGAGAAACCAAGAGACTGCATTAATTCACTATGTAAACACTCACAGGGGCGGAATATAAAATCTACGAGACACAATTACCACAATGCGGACCCTCCGCCCGTGCGGCGCTCCCTCAGCACTGACCCTCCGACAGTGCCCGCTCCCTTAGCACTTTGTCTCCGACAGTGCCCACTCCCTCAGTGCTGACCCTCCGACAGCGCCCGCTCCCTCAGTGCTGACCCTCCGACAGTGCCCGCTCCCTTAGCGCTGACCCTCCGACAGTGCCCACTCCCTTAGCACTGACTCTCCAACAGTGCCCACTCCCTCAGCGCTGACCCTCCGACAGTGCCTGCTCCCTCAGCGCTGACCCGGTGGGCATCAGTGCTGATTTCTAGCCGCTCACTGGACCAGGGACCAATCCTGCAGCTTCCCTGACCCCATGAGGCAGTCAGAGACAGTGACCTGTGCCAGAAGGGGTTTTTTTTTTGTTCCTTTCCAGCTCTGTCACTATTACAATGTGAGTCAGTGTGCAGTCAATTCTCACAGAGCTAGGTCCTGCTGATGGAAATGAGCAAAGAGAAAGTAGGGAACCGTTCCCAAAGCTCAGTACATCCGTCTGTCTGTGGGTTGTGTGATAACAGTGCTTCCTCGCTCGCTCCCCACACCTTACCTAACTCCTGTAGAGGCTTCTCCATGTCCTCCTCTGAGAAGACTTTGCGCGGGAAAGATGTCATTAGGTTGAAGTTCCCGAGATCATCCTGCTGCTGCAGCTGGATGTAGAGTCTCACAGCAGCCAACTGTTCGCGGCTTTTAAACGACTGTGTGAGCTGGGAGCCATCTAACAGCCGGATCTGAAAACCAGAGCACAGGCGCCAGATCACAGCCCGCTCCAAACTGACACACCGTCCCTCAGCACGGTCCCTCTCTCAGGGCACTTACTCAGTCCCGGGGGCACAGTGCCCAAACTCCACACACCCTGCCTCAGCACTTCTCCCTGCCCCACACAGGGGGAAACCTTCCCCAATCCCCACCCCGGGACAGTGTGTGTACCCCTCCCTCAGTGTCACCACCCGGGACAGTGTGTTCCCCTCTCCCTCAATGTGCGCCCCACCCCCGTCCCACCCCGGGATAGTGTGTGCCCCCCTCCCTCAGTGTCCCCCCACTTACCTCACCCCTGGACAGCGTGTGCCCCTCTCCCTCAGTGTGCTCCCCCCTCCCTCAGTTTCCCCACCGTGGGACAGTGTGTGCCCCCCTCCCTCAGTGAACCTCCCCACCCCCGGGACAGCGTGCTCCCGCCCTCAATGCCCCCCCAGGAGAGAGTGCACCCTCCCTCAATGCCCCCCCAGGACAGCGTGCACCCTCCCTCAATGCACCCCCAGGACAGCATGCCCCCTCCCTCAGTGTCGTCCCCACCCAATGCTAACCTGTCTGACCTTGGGTCACGACTCCACTTCCCCGCCCCCTCTGCACTATTCCTGAGAGATGGAAAAACTCTCCAATCCCAGTCCCCATTATATTAAAACAAATACCCTTCACCAGCTGGAGAATTCCAGAGATTTACCACACTCCATCAAAAATGTCCCCTCCCCTCGGTCCTCAATAATTCTGCCCCCCGCCCCCATCTTGATACTGTCCCACCAGCAAACCACACCCCCCACCCACTGAGCCAACCACCCGATTGGAGAAAACATTCTCTCAGCCTCTACCCTGTCTGAGCCCATTCAGGATCCTGTCAACCCCAATACAATCTGTCCCATTTCCCCTGAATATTCACCCAGCCTCTCACCACAGGAATGCTGAGGGAGGGGGCGCACTGTCCCACGGGGACACTGAGGGAGGGGGAGCACTGTCCCATAGGGACACGGAGGGAGAGGGAGCACTGTCCCATAGGGACACTGAGGGAAGGGGCGCACTGTCCCATGGGGACACTGAGGAAGGGGGCACACTGTCCTGGGGAGGTGGTCACTGAGGGACGGAGTGTGCTGTCCTGGGTTTGGCGGGGGGGGGGAACACTGAGGGAGGGAGCGCACTGCCCCTTGGGCAGGTGATGAGGGGTCACTGAAGGAGGGGGGCACACACTGTCCTGGGGGGGCATTGAGAGGCTGACGGAGGTGCTTAAGCACAAGACGTCTCTAGCTATGCGAGTATTGGGGGGGGGGTGGGCAGGTTGGGGGCAGGGGGAGATTTTCAGGCGGGGAGTGGGAACAGTGCGATTTGGAAGATGAGGGGCCAGCTGTTTGGCGGTGCCATCGCAAGGCAACACCTCACACTTGGAGGGACAGGGAATGACCCGCTTCAGGTCTCTGTGGGAGAGAGGATCCGAGCATGGCGAGGAAGGGAATGACTGAAATGCCCCACCGGCTCTGACCGCGCACCTCCCCCGCCCCTCCCTCAGGACATCACAGCCCCTACACAGCACGTAACTCCCTACCTGGTCCAAAGTGCTGTCTCACCTGTAACCTGCATTCGTCGTACTCCCGTTTGGCCAGCGGCCCTGTGCTGGACTGAGGGATTGCGGGTGTTGGCTGCACTGCAGGAGCAGCAGGTGGCCCTCCGCCACCAAACTGGGCGGGCAGTGGGGGTTTGGGAGGAGATGATTAAAAAAACGCACAAGTTAGGGGTGAAAGGCTTGAGATTTTACACACAAGGCATGTTAATGTAAAGACATCTCACTCCCTCTCTCTCTCAGATACACACACGTGCACACACAAACGCACGCACATACACAAACGTACACATGCATATGCACACACACAAACACACGCATGCACACACACACACGCCCTTACAGACCACCCCCTCAGGATGGCATTGGGGTCCAGGGATATTCCTGTACCAACAGGACCATCCAAAGGCCAGAGGAGGAACAACTCAAGGACAGTTACCTTCAGGGCTCTCTCTGCTTTGTCTCTTTCAATCTTCTCTCGAACTCTCTGCCTGAAGAAAGAGAGTACAAACCAGCAGCTGTCAGCTGGTGCTCAGTCAGACAGCACAGGAGGAGGCCATTCTGCCCACTCAGCCTGTGCTGAACGATCTCTCTAGCTATTCTTAGGCCTAAATCTTACCCACCCCCCCCGCCCAAGCCTTGTGTATTTCTCCTTTTCAAGTATTTATCCAATCGCCCCTTACGTAGCTAATTGCTGCATCACCCACTGCTACCCCCTTGCTGGGGACACACTGCTGTAACCCCCTCTCATGGATACTCTCCACACACCCCCTCCACAATTACCCCCTCCTGGGGAGACCACAATTACCCTACCCAACCGCCCCCACCCCCACCCACCCC